CAGGGATGATTTAAAAATTTGTACTTTTTAAAACAAATTTGATTGATTGATTTTAGAGAGAGGGGAAGGGAGGGAGAGAGGGAAAGAAATATTGATGTGAGAGAGAAACAATGATCGGTTGCCTCCGAATGCCCCAACTGGGACCAGTCCCACTACCCAGGCGTGTGTCCTGGCAGGGAATCGCACCTGCGACCTTTTGGTTTATGAGGCTGACACTCAACCAACTGAGCCACACTGGTCAGGGCAGAGAATTTGTACCTGTTAGACAAGAGGTTTCATTCATTCATTCACTCACTCATTCATTCACACTGTGCAATGGTGGGTCCGTTGGGGAGATAGGAAACTGTGTGTGAAAGTGCCCTGGTTTTGCCCTCATGGTGTTCAGATCCTGGGGTTGTTACAGCATCAGGAATGAAGTCAAAACCCTAGTTTAGATGAGGGGTGTGCTATAAAATCCTCTGCCCTCTCTTGGGGAAGTCACTCCCCTGCCGTTGAAGGTGAAGACCAGAGGGTCCTGCTGTGAGAAGCCTTGGGGGATGAGGGGCCAGGCGGGGAGACAGAGAGAGAGGCTGGGGGAACTGAGGCACCAACCTGCAGGGGACCCCCCCGCCCCAGTTACCCACGTGAAGAGGAGGCAGACCAACCTCCCAGCTGAGCTTTTCCTAATTTCTAACTCACAATATGGTGGGCAAAATAAAATGGTCGCTTCAATCTACTAAGTTTTGGGGGCGGTTTGTTAACATAGTGACAAACACCCAGACGGAATGCTAAGGCCTGGCCCTTCTTCCTGTAGGAAGCTCGCTGAGGGGCCCTCGGGCCTTTGCTGAGCGTTGTTCAGGGAAGGTGGGCCGGCAGCCAGGCCCCATCCTTGCTTGCTGGGGTGTTTGAGAGCCACGAAATACCCTGCAACGTGGGGAATGGGAAATGGAACCAGCCGATTCTCCCCTGGCCCCTGTGGGTGGCTGCCCTGCCTCCCAGTTCTGGGGGCGGTGCGCCTTCCTATCTCTCGTGTTTTCTCAGGCCCAGGTGGCCCTGCAGTTTAATGGTGGTGAGGTGGGCGCACACCCCCAGGTGCCATGAAGCTGGGGTTCTGTGGGTAGGCAGGGTTCCTCCTGGTGGGGCCTGTTTCCTGCCTGAGTTTATGCTGGGTTTGTGGCTCCCCGCCCTTTCTGTTTAGAGAGTGACTTTTCTGTGTGTGCTATCTCTGGGGGAGTGGACAACAACTGGCCGGCTCCTGCAAGCAGCAGCCATGATGGCCTCCCAAGGCTTCCATTGCTTCTCCTCCACCCACAAAAAATAATTCCATGTGAAACCTGTTCTCTGGCCAAAGCTTGTCCTGCCCACCACCCCCCAACGCCCCCGCTGCTAAGCAGGGAGCTTTCTTCTTTGTTGATTTTAGAACAAATTCAGATTGCTGTCTCCAGATTTTGGGGCGTGCAGGCCCAGCTTCCTTTGGAAGCTTTGCTTGGATCCCAGTGTATTTGGAATCTTCTGTGCTCTTCCTCCCACCGTCCATTCATTCCCCGGAGGATGGACTGGGGCCACACCTGGGGTGAGAGATGCTGAGTAGGATGGGGTGGAGTCAGCCCTGCGGTGGGTGGGCGTGCCACCCCCAGAACTTGCTAGCCTCGCAACCCTTCCTAGGCATATTACAATGCCTTTGATTCTGTTTCTTTACGCATTGAACGGCTCTCAGAAATAACGTCTACAAAGCACCAGGCAGCACATGAGGCACATAATGGATCCAGAAGAAATGGCAACTATCACAGTGAGGATGATGATGGTGGTGATTCAGGCGAGCCTGGCTTCTGAGTCAGGGCTGGGGACAAGGTGGGCTTCCAGCAGAAAGTTCTGTCTGCATGGCCACAAGTTGAGCCACTCCCCAATTGCTTTCCTCGGGGACACAGAGAGCAGCCTTTGAAAATGACCCACATGCACGGAAGAGCGATGACATGCTGGGATTCGCTTGGTCTCCCTGAGCAGAACCAAAATTCAAGTCTGCAGAGAGGAAAGATGCGTATCAATTTTCCTTTCTGTTCTCAGGCAGAGAGAGCTCCTTGGAGGCCGGGCACCATAAATGTGAGAGCATCATTATTCTTTCCCGAATCCTTGGGTAAAATAGGAATAATGCTGATTGGTTTAGATGAACATCGAATCCAGTGAATTGAGGCCTGGAGGGAGGAAGCACGTGGGCATTGAATCGCCCATCTGGGCTTGAGGTCAGAACCCCGCTCTCTAGACACACGGTGTGGAACAAGTCACTTTCCCTTTCTGTGCCTCAGTTTTTCTCACCTGTATAATGGGATCATACCTGCTGCTTGAGGACATAGGATGAGGTAACATGTGTAAAATGCCTAGCAGAGAGTCGATGCGCCAGCCATGGTCTAAATGAAACAGGAAGAGGTGGGGAGGAGGTGGTGGACTTTCTGGCCTGCACCAGGCCACTGAGCTGTTGGGGGGAGTGGCCTCTGCGCAGACTCAGCCTGAAAAAACAGGCGGCTGGGCCCCAGAAGAGACTCACAGGGGAGGCCAGAGAGAGCTGCAGAGACCTACCGAATGGCCATGGGGCCGGCACCTTCAGGCCGGCTGCACGGAGTTCCGCCTCCTCTTGGTCTGGGTGACTCAGGCAGGGTTTTGGACAGAGTCCCTGTGACCGGAGGAGAAGCCCGGGGTGGTCTCTGTCACCGGGCTGTCCTCCCCGTGAACTGAACATTCAGCATTTTAAAAGGGCCCCCAGCACCCACTGGCTTGCAGCCCCTCCCCTTTTGCCCTCTCAGATGATAACGCTGCTCAAGTGCAAGCCATGAACTTCAAAGCTTTATTTGTGCTTGGAGAAGAATAATGTCTCATGACAACGCACAGATCCCGCTGCCAGAATCCACAACGGACACAGGCGCAGTGAGTGCGTGAGCTCACACGGTGCCGGTTCGGTTCTTCCCTAGGAAGCGGGCCCTGCAAGCCTTGCTCGCCCAAGCTGTGCTGGCAAAGCCCTTCCCTTGGTCGGGGTTTGAGTTTCTCTGTGTGTGTGTGTGCGCGCACATGCATCAAAGCAGGACTACTGCTCTGGGCTGGCATGGGCTCTGCAGTTAGTTAAGGGTGTCCATCTGCCTGTCCGGCCCGGTTCGGTCCTCTCGTTTCAGGAGAACAGGGCTATTTATTGACACAAAGGGGAGGTGTTAGATCATCTTGTTAAGATGCAAAGCTCAAAATAAACAGGAGATCTTTGCTTGGAAATCCACACCCTTCCTCAAAGGAAGACCCACGAGTAAATTTGGACGAAGGACGAGGCCCAAGCGTAGGCTCTGGTTTTCATGACGGCTTTGCCGACGTTTCAGGCCGCACCACTGTCTGTCCGCCGACGCGTACAGGAATCCGGACTTTCCTCCATTTTGAGCAAAAGAGCCTTAGCAATAAATACTATTGTTGTCAGCCTTAAAACATCAGGAACCAGAACGAAATGCTAGCTACCTGATCTTGGGGAAGAAACAGACCCGTGGCATGAAAAACAGACGAGAGACCGTGGAAGGGGTTCAGAGGAACACAGTGAGCAATTTTATGCCTTGGAGGGAAGATAATAAGTTGAAGCGACACATGAGACATTGAACATGGAGGGAGATTCGAAAGCGATGCCTCCCCCATGTCCAGCCCAGCAGCCGGCGAACACAGGAACAGCTGACCCAGCAACTTGGGGGAATGTGACTGCTTCAGCTCTTGAGTGACGTCAGGAGGACAGTCAGCGTGCTGCAGTGGCCTGTGGCAGGAGATGGCCACAGTTTATGCTCCGTTCCCAGGGCAGAGCCTGACACACCGGTCCTCCCCGAGCCCCGAGGGCAGGGCCAGATTAAGTGCACCATCTCCTCCGCTTGCTGCAGCTCTAGCTCTCTCTAGGTGCTTCTCCAGCAGTTGGTCCCCCTCCCCCTAACACCCAACAGGGGCTGTGAAAGATCGGCAGCAGGGACCAGCGTCCAGAAATCCTTAGCTGTGTTTTGGCTAAGGACCTCCCCTGCAACAAGTCACTTCAGCAGAGATAAATTTAGCTTCCTTATCTCTGGCTTCAGGTCGCTTTCAGGGTGAGCTATGAGCTGATATAAACAGAGGATACATATATTTTCATCCGCTCCGTAGAACTGGGGTCAGCCATCTCAGGCACAAGAGCCAAATGCAGTCAGGCGCCTGTCAAATAAAATCGTACTGGCGTGGAGCCCAGCTTGTGATGTCTCGTCTGTGTGTGTCTGCTTTTGGGACACAGTGGCAGAGTGGAGTAGTTGTGACAGAAACCGTCTGACCCACCAAACTGAAAACAGTGTATTCACTCTCCAGGTCTTTACAAAAACCTTGCTGACCCCGTTCTAGAAGGACCTGGCTCAGAACCCTTGTCCCCCACCTGCCATCCTGGGTTCCCATGTGAGTACTGGCTGCAAAGGGTAACTTTTAATCTGAGACCTGTTGGGAGAGGAAAGAAAAGGCCTCTGCCTGCAGCTTTGTCAGTAACCCCCAGAACTCCTCCTCGGACACGTTCTGCCATGATCTACTACTTCCTGGTGTTTTCGGTTCTGTCTCTTCTCCCCGCCTTGCGTCTGCTCTGACTCCTTTCCTCGTTGCTGAATCGCCCATGCAGTGTGAAAGGGTGGCGGCATCCCCCAATGGGAATTACCGAGTGGCCTTGCCTCTCTGTCCCCTGGTCTGCCCTCCAGCAGTGTGCCCCTTCCCGCCCCCCCAGGAATCCAGGCTGCAGGGCCTCATCAGTGGGGTTGAGGTGGCGTGATGTGACTCGGAGGGGCCTGTCTGATGTTCTCGTGTGTGCCTGACCCTGGCTGGGGTGGGGTTCACCTGAATCGGCTACAGCCCCGCCAGACAGTCACAGGTACAGCGACCCTGCTATAGAATTCCTTTTAAAAGAGCACTACACACACACACACACACAAAATCAGCCCCCAAAGATGGGCAGGGTTTTTTTGTTTTTTGTTTGTTTTTCCTTCGAGCTGGTTTTAATGACCCAGTTGCTTTGTTTGAAAGCCATTTATTTAGATGACAGATATGTAGGTGTGACTGGATAAATAAAAAAGTGAAATCAAGACTTGAAGCAGTGGTTAAAATACAAACACACAGGGCCACCCCCTCAGAGTGCCCCAGACAGGAGAATGGCTCAGAAGTTACACTTAGAACCCTCGCCCTCTCCCTGCTCCCCCACCCCACCCTAAGAAGCTCCAAACCTCCAGGTCCCATGCAAGAAAGTGAATTTCCATTTGGCACCAAGCACCCACATTTCTTCCCTTTTCTTCCTTCTCAGTGAGATTTTCATGTCTATTCCTGCACCGGAACCGCCGCCCTCCACCCAAACAGCACCAGATGGGTGCAGCACCAAGTGCACGGTCCAGCCCGGTGGGCCTGCAGCCCCCTCCCCAGCCCACCAACCCCACCCAGCAGAGGAAACCGCAGGCCACGCCCAGTGGCTCCACGGATGGAAAGAAGACAAAGCTACAGGGAATGCCCGTGGCGTGTTCACGGGAGGCGTAAGCGTGAACCCCATAGGGCCCAGCCAAGACCTCACCGCCGCCTGGGGAGTCTCCTCCTCACCCGTTCATTCCCCTAAAATACACCATTATCCAGTTCACAATCCCCACCAAATGCTGCATGTGATATCCCCCCTCTTTAATGGCAAATGTCTTGGAATGTCCGTAGAGAAGAAAATGTACGGTGTGGAGGAAGGGTTCCCGGCCGGCCTCGGTTTCACCTACGGATGTCGGAATACTCGGAGGGCTCCTCCTCCCACTCGCTGCTGCCGGAAGTTCCCTGGGCCCCGCGGTCAGCTGCTCGGCCACGCGCATGGGTGTTCTGCGCGTTCTTGCTGCCTCGCTCGCCCCTGGCACCACGGCTGCTCTCCCTGCTGCTGGGCTCCGAGAGGTGGTGCCCGGCATCCCGGTGGTGGGCCCTGGAGGGCTTGGCTCTCTCTGCCTGCGGCTGGCGCTCGGGAGGGGGCGTGGGTGGCCTCTGGACGGCGGAGGTGCAGAAGCTCAGGATGGAGCAGAGGCTGCCCCAGTTCTGCTCGCACTGAGCCTGCACGCTGTGGGTGATGGCCTCCTTCACCTCCTCCCCACAGGTCAGCAGCTGTTTCACCAGGTCCACGTAGGGTCTAGAGATGGAAAGCAAAGGGACGGAGAATGGCACCCGTCATGCCTGGCCTCAAAGGGCTGTGACCGTGGCAGAGAAGAGGGAGGTGGTAAACCCAGGGCTCAGCTGGGCTTTGGTATGGTGGGGCAGCTTTCTGGAATTACCTGGAGCCTTTACCCATAGCCTACGCACTACTGGGCACCCATTATGTGCCGGGCCACAGGCCAGGCATTGGAGAGCGTTAGGGCCTCGGGGCGGAGCCCACCACAAGGAAAAGGGCCGGCAACAATTCACAGGTGGCTACGATGGACGAAGAGCCCCTGGGGAAGGTGGGTGGACCATGCCAACCGGGCAGTGGTGCAAATGATGACAAGCAGGCCAGAGAGCCCGGGGCACATTTTGGGGCGGGCTGGGTAGGAGGATGTCAGTGGGTATGGGGATGGGTCTTGGGGACCAGAGGAGTGATAATTAGGTGAGGGGCAAAGGGCCTTAAATACAGAACCAAGGAGTCTTTTTGGTACAAATGGGAGGAGCCCTTGCAGGTTCAGGACTTGGGGAGCCCTAGATTGTCCCCTCACATGTGACATCAGCAGGGCCAGCTGTCTGGCTGGGTCACTCTTCCAGGTAAGCCAGGCTCCTCAGGAACCATTTTCCCTGTGTCCGTCTTGGCTCCTGGTTTAGGCTCGTGACCAAGAAGTGGCCGGGGGCGGGGTGCGGGGAGACTGCCTCCCTGGATATCACCTCCCGTGGAGCACTCCTCAGGGTCAGTAGTAGGGGCAGAGGGGCAGAGCTGGCTGGCTCAGCATCTTCCCATGGGGGCCTCCCCAGAACTGGAGGTGAGGGCTGGATGCGAGGGGCTGGTGTGTTTGGAATGAAAACCAGCTGTCTCCTAAATAAATACGCTCTGTTCTGAGGGGACAGCCAGTAGCTCAGGCCATTCCAGCGGCCGTGGGTCTTTCGGGAAAGTGCAGGAAGGATGACCGCATGAGGCCAACCTTCTTCCTGGGGTCGGGAGCTGAGTGGCAAGGTGGCAATGGTGTGCTTGCTTTTTATATTTATGGGCCCAGCTGGGAAGAGGTGTCCCCAGCAGGAGGTGGCTGTCATGGCCCATAAGTCACCCTTACGCCTCACTGACCCCAAGGTGTGTGGAAGATTTCCTGCGGCTCACCATCCCTCTGAAGCAGGCCCTGGCTAGGGAGGTTCCCGGGTCTCTCTGACCACGAGCATCTCGGCTGTCAGCTCGGGCAGCAGAATCACTCTAGGCCCTGAGATCACTCACAGGGACCAGGACTGTTTTCCCCCGTGAGCCCGGAGCACCTGGGCAGCTCGTCATGTATGGCCGTCTTCCTCTTTCCTTTGCCAGGCGGCAGTGTTGCTAGGGAGGGAGGCAGATTGTGCTAAGACCTGGGAAGCCGTTCACTGCCATTTTTAGGAGTTAGTTCTTCGGTTGTCATTGAGCGAACTGTCCTTGTTTCACAGAGGCAAAGATGGACTCAAGGTGGAGAGAAAGTGCCTTTTGGAAGCTTCTGGGCCTGGTGGGCCTCGGGGTGGGAGTGGCGGGGGGGCTGTTCTGGCTGATGGATCAGGCTGCCTTTTAAGGCCTCCTGGACACCTGCAGAGTCACAGTTGCGCACCACTGATGCGCAGGGAGCCTGACCTCTCTCAGGCAGGCCCCGAACAGGGACAAGGGGACAAGGACAGCGCTGACACTCGTCTTCTTGGGCTGGGAGAAGAGGGCACGGGGCAACCCAGGTCACTTCACGCTAGTGTCCTTCCTTCCTACTGACTCAGGGATTTCAAGTTCACTGAATGCATATCAGCTTTGGGAGCACCTGACTGTCCCCTGCACGGTTCTGGGGCTCCATGAGCCCATTGCAGGGGCTGAGAATCTGCCTGTCTTTTGGGGACACTAAACCAACGCTCCTCTTCAAGTTTCTTTCCCAGAGTAAGGGGAGGGATCTCAGGAATGAGGCGATGCCTCCTGCCTCCTTTGCCCAGCCGGTCAGCCCGCCGATGGCTCTCAGCACCCAAGGTGGGCCTGAGATCGCTGAGCTGGCCCGTGTGCTCCTTGGCCCCTGGCGCCCTGAGCTGTATAAGGGTTGTGTTCCTCCACGCTGAGCTCCGAGCTGGCATAGCACCTCCTCAGGCTAAAGCCCAGCCCGTGTGACAAAGCCCAGCTCTCTCAACTGGGTGTCAGCAAGGTAAAAGGATTTTAAGAAGAAAGTGCTTGGAGCCGGCCAGCACCCAGTGACAGGGTGTGCGGTGGCCAAGGCGGTCGATATGGAGACAGTGGGGCGGGAAGGGGTGAGGGGACCACTTGAACCGAAAGTGACAGTGTTTGGGGTGGACGTGGGTGGAGTTGAGGAGCGGGGGTGATGTGGTTGTGGGGGTGACTCTGATTTCTTCTTCTCTAAAGAGAAAATCAAATTCAGTTCTCATTTGCCTTGTCTGGGACCAAGGCCACACATCCGGAAATGGTCTTCTTGATTTGGGGGACCAATGAGATCCTCTGTGCCAAATCAATTTTCAACTAAAAAAACCAAGAAACTCATTCAAGTCAATGCACTGCATAGCCGTGGCTTCAGACGGGGCAGCAGTGGGGTCCGAGGGGGCTGGAGTTGGGTGGGACCCGCCGCCTTGGAGATGCTGCCTTCGCAGGGGGCAGGAGGGTTCAGGGCAGTGAGTCTTCTTAAAAGAGGCCTAGGCTTCCTTCTGGGGCAGGCCACCGGCATTTGCAGAGCGGGCTGGGTGGGGGACTAGGTGTTCGTTCTAAATGAGGCAAGGAGCCTTGGAAGTTAAGGGTCCCAGGGCCCCACGGGCCATGTCTCCGTGGAAGGGACGCAGAAAGCCACAGTGCTTTGCTGCTTCTTAAACGGAGGGATGGGGGCGGACTTTAAAACCTGCTGTTTTCTGAAAGAAGCGTTTCTCCCAAAAGACAGTCTTCTTGGCTCCAGGAACATATTGAGAACTTATAAACTAGGTCCCCATCATCCAATCTTGAGGCCAACATGCCATCTCTAATGGGACGTGGGTGTCGGACAAGTGACCTTCATGAGCTTCTTTATGGCTATGCGGGTGGTTTGTGTCTTCCAGGGCCACCTCAAAGGGCCTTTCCCAGCATTCTCCTCGTGCAAAGGGAACCCCCCCAGGCCACAGGTGGGGACCAGGGAGCCTTTTGCAGGTCTAGTGGCGGGGGGAGCAGGCCACAGCAAGGAGGTTTGGGGTCTGTTCCTGACAGCTGGCTTCAGGCACGTACCTCACCTATTCCCAGGTTGGAAAGTGGGAATCAGATCTCAGAGGGAAGTTTTTAAACTCGGCTTCACTTCCCTCCTCTGCTCAGTGCGGGATAGTCATCTCCATCTTGTGGCGTTGGTGGGAAAGAAAATTGGGGGAAATCCAGGGAAATTCCCTGGCTCAGGGCCTGGCCCACTCAAAAAATGCTTTTAGATCATTAGAGTTGTTATTGCTGATGCTGTTGCTGTTTTGTTTCTTTATAGGTATTTGGAAGAATAAAATATATTTTATCAAGCCTTAGTGTGACTCAGAGAGAAGGCCCGCCTGTGGAGACTCATGGTGAGTCTTCTAATTCCAGCACTCGCCGGGGCACAGCAAGATACCTAGATCCTCACGGCCAAGTGGAAAGTGACAGCAGGTGGCTGTCCCCCACGCTCTAAGTGCGTAGGAGGGTGGGAAGCATCCCACTGAGTGAAGGTAGCTGGGGGGAGACAGGCTCGAAGGAGCAAGAGCTCACAATCGTGTGCTGATTTGGCCCAGTTAGTCACCGTGCAAAGGGGAACAGTGCCATCAAGCTGACAGTCACTTGGCCTGGGCTGCTCAGCTAGGAGCCTGCTTCTGTCCTCATTCTCTGAAGAAGGAGCCATCGTGCCCCTCAGGGACTATCGATAGTGCTTCGTGTTAGGCACAGAGGTGCCCCCAAGGCCTGACCATTCTGCAGGATTCAGGATGCGCTCGATCGCGTGCTTTTTAAGGAGTGAGGCATCCTGGGCTTATTACTGAATTGCACGTCTTCAAGCAATCAGTTCACATTTCCTGGCTTTGGCCTAAATGGGGGGCGGGTTGATTAGAGTTTTGGACATTTGTTTTGCGTTTTCTCTGGGAGACTATTCATGGGCTAGAAAAGGTGAGTCGGACTTGCTAAGGGCAAAGAGAGCTCATGGAGGCAGGAGACAAAGGAGCTGCTGTCCTGGGTGTTTAGCCTTGAAGAGTGTAGGTTCTGGAGCCGAACTGCCTGACGCGGGGCCTAGCTTTGCCTCCCACTGTCTGGGACCTGGACTCAGTGAATCTCAGTTTTCTCATCTGAAAATGGAGATGAGAAATGGGGCTGGCACAGGGCCAGTGTGAGGGTCACGTGGGAAATTCAGAGCAGGCCCTCAGCCCTGCGCCTGGTACCCAGTAAATACTGGACAGATGTTGTAGGCTCTCGGTGGTCTGTCAGGGCCCCTTCAGAGCTATGGGGAATACTGAGAGAATGGCGAGGGTCTTGGCCAAGGGGAAGACGGAGGGCATTTCTGAATCCCACCCATTTCATGCTTAGTAAAAATGTTCCCTGTGTCTATTGCTTATGACTTTGAAACCGATGGTGGAAACTTCTTTCACTTTCTCTGAAGGTCAGCAGGAAAGGCGCTCCCAGGGGAGCTGGGGCAGATTTCAGACATCAAATGCAACCTCCCCCGTCCGTCTGACAGGAGAGCTCGCCCCCCCCCCCACAGGCCCCTGAACCCGAACCCCCGGAGACACTCACTCGTGCAGAAGCAGGTCTCTGAAGTGGATCATCTCGGCCATCACGCGTGTGTTGTCCCGGGCGGCGGAGCACAGGTCGTGTTTGAGGTAGCACTCCCGCTGCAGCTGGGACACCATGTCCCTGATGGCCGGGCACTTGCGGCTTATGCAGCCGAATCGGTGCCGCAGAGCGTGGGCCTTACACTTCAAGGTGTCTTTGATGAACGACTTGCCCTGTGGCCCGAGGACAGAGGCGGGAGAGGGGGCGGGAGAGACGAGGCCTCGTTACACGCTCAGCCTCACACGGGACCCTCTGGCCTCACACGGGAGCTTTCTGAGAGCTGAACCGAGAGGCCCCGCTGCTGACTGATGTCCTTGCAGGAGACACGTTGACGCTTCACCAGGAGGTGTGTCCAGAGTGGCACGACACCTCTGGCATTTGGCCGAGAGGATGCCACGCGGGGAGACGGATCTGCCTCCGGCCTCCCCGGCTGCTCTGCTGGCGTCCCTCAGGCTGGGGCTTTCCTGACTGCCTGTCCCCAAGACAGACAGACAGACAGACCAGGGTCGGCTGTTGGGTGGTAACTGTTCTGGAACACAAGGGGACTTTGGCCAGACATAAATTCAGAGCCCTTGTTGGTTCTCAGCAAGCCTCTTCCCCGAGTAGATGACGCCTGCTTCTCCAAGCCTCATGCTTCCCCTTTTCCTCTGAGCCCACGGGTACCGTCAGGAGGGGCTGCTAAGGGGGCCTGTCCTTCCTTCCGGCACCCCCACCCCACACTCGCGTCTCCCCCATCCTTTAGGGAGGAGCATTCTTTTCCTTTTCGAAAACCACTGGACTCCTTTAAACTGTTAGGATTACTGCCTTTAAAAGGCCCGCCTGGCACGCTGCCTGGAGGCATCTGGCCCGCCCGCCGGCCCCGCCCCTGCGCCCCGCCTCTGAGTGGCGCGGGCATCCAGGCATACATCTGGCCCACACTCCTCTTTCCTGGCAACCCCTTTAGATTGTTCTTATCCTAGAAAGGAGACAGCTTTTGGGGGTGTGGAGGCGAGCCGGGCCGTTAGCTCCCCGACCAGCCTTGGGGACAGAGAGGTATTGTGGGAGACCCAGCGGGGATGCTGAGCCCCCATGACTATGGACACGAGCTGGGCGGGAGGGGTCACTCCGGTGTTCAGACAGGCCCAGAAGGAATGAAGTTGGGAAAGTGAAGGGGTGTGGGTCGGGGGTGGGAAGCCAGCCAGCACGTTTATTTCGGTTCTTTCCTTGAGAAGCAATCGAAATGTCCAGAAACGGTGTCTGCTCAGCAAAAACCACCTCCGTCCAGCCCCCTCCTCGGCTGTGCACTGGGAGCCAAATGGGACGGAAGGCAGGGCGTGCCGGTTTGGGGAGCAGCTATGCACTGAGCAGTGACTTGTCAGGGACGTTTCTGACTTGGGAACACACTCCTCTTGGTGGAGAATAAGAGGGAAGATGAACTTATGTGAGGACTGTGGCAATCTGCCCTTGTCCCCACCTCCTGTGGGGTCGCCCTGAAACACGTGTCTTTCCCACGAATTTCCTATGACGCTTCCTAATTCCAATTTACCCAGAAGGGAAGCTTTGTTCGCTTTATTGGGGGGCCTCGAGGAGTTCAAACATGCGACCTCTTTCCTTTGCTGGTTTGTCTCCCCTCCTGCCACCCCACGCCCTCTGTAGGGTGGGCCGCCGGCCCCGCTGCACCCCTCCCAGTTCCCAGGGCTTTGTCAGTCCCTCCACAGCAGGTCAGGAGATGGTGGCCGGGGACCTTCATAAATCACACCCACACCGCCGGCCTCATCCAAACGTTGTCATCGCTCTCCAGTGAGATGGGAGGGGGAGTTTATGGTGGAGACTAACGGGGCTTCACAGAGCCTAGCTGGGCGGGAGGGCATGTCAGTGAGCCCCCTGCCATCCGACATGTGGGTGGCCAGCGCTGCAGCTGGAAGCTTGCTGGTGGGGTTCTTTCCCCGCCCCGTGCCTGGGCTCTGCCCTCGGGCCCCGGGACAACCAGAGCGGGTCAGGCCCTGCCTCTATTTACTATACAGGGCAAAAGAAAAGTGCTGGTGAGCGGGACTCATTCACGGTTTTGACTGTGCAGGCTGGGAGAGAAGTCTGCTCTTCCAGGGGCTTCTGTTTATCCACGTTGCCTGCTCACACCCCCACCCCCGGAGAAGCTGAATGTCTCCCAACTTTGGGTCTCATTTTTCTTGCCTACGAGGGACACTAGTTTCTGGAACGTAGAACGAGAGTCGGCCCCTCCCCACTCAACCCCATGTTCCTGTGTGACGGGCCCTGCAGACCCAGCTCTGGGTGGCCAGACCCTGTGTGCTCCCTTACAAGTGTGTGTGGCGATCTCTGTCCTCGCAGCCTTGTGTCCTCAGATCGTTGTTCAGCTGGGTCTCCAGCCCACTCTGCCTGTGCGGACACAGCTGAAGAGTGGAGAAGGGTTTAGCCCACACGACAGACAGCTCTAGAGAGCGGAACTCCAGGGCTGTGGCGGGGGGACACTGGCTTCCTGCTCTATGCCTAGAACGTGTCTTGGAAGTGCTAAGGCACAGTTCAGAGATCAGCTAAGGAAATCCGTCAACAAGTCTTCCCAGCGAGCATTGCAACCATGTGATGCTAAGCCTAAACGTTCCTTGCGCTCTCTATGGGTTTTACCTGGGAGTCAAACTTTCCAGCGTTGTGCAGAAAAGTCATGCAGATCCCACGTAAGCCTCGAATCTCACAGGAGTTGTTCTCGAAACATTCGAACACGCCACACCCCACATCGCCGGCGCTGACCAGACAGTGCTGGATTTCCGCTAAAACGAGAATTACGTACAGATATGTACCACGTTCTCGGCCGTGCTGGGGAACGCAGAGGGGTTAGCTGAAATAAAGGTAATGACCCAAAGAAAATTTAAGGGGGGAAAAAAGTTAGAAGGACTATTTCAGGATCTAAAGCGCTGGGGAAAGAAAATGTCATCATTTAATCTACTTATGAAAAATAGCCGGATGTGTAAATACTTGTAAAAAAAATTAGCCAAACCCACATTACAAAAGTCAGAACCAGAAGTTAAGTCTGAGAACCTCGTTTTTCATCCTTCCCATCTTCTTAAAGTGTTTGTGGGAATTCTTAGCCTGAGAACAGAAGATAATTCAACTTTCTAAACCCAGACAAATATAAGATTTTAAATGATTAGCTTGTCCCTCCCTCCCGTAGGCCCTCAGTCAAATACCCTTCTCTGCGTGGAACTTGAAGCCCCTGCTCTGAAATCCCAGCCATTTCCTTCCTGGCCCCCCGAACAAGAGCGTCCAAAAAGCAGTTTCAATTCAGCCTTTTATGATTCAACACCTAAAAATCACAACAAAATTCCTATTAAGGCAGCGCCTCCAAACCGTCCTCCTTAGCAGTGCTAGGCTAGGGAAACTGGTTCCCCAGCAGGCTGGGAATCCAGGCAGATGGGCTCTAGCCCACGGAAAGCAACCTTCGTGGTCAGAGGCTCCTTTTAAATAAGAGACCCGGAGTGCGATGTCACTTAATCCCGTAGAACTCCTGAGACTGGGAGTTTGCTGCCCTCCTTTGCAGACTGTGGCCCTAATGCCTTGGTTGGAAAGGACCCACCGAGGGAGTTAACTGTGGCCCTGCCGTGTGCAAAGCCTCTCTTCCTTCCTCCCCCTACCCAGTCCCCTGACTTAAACCAACCCCAAAATTGCATCAGAAAAGTATATTTGGGAAGAAGGGCAGGCTAGGAGTAGATAATCCACATTCAACTCGAAGGTACCCAGGGACTGAAGGGTGTGTATTTGTTGAGGGTCGCCAACCACCGAGAATTGCGTTCAGTTCTCAGGGAAAGCTGGAGAGGGAGGAAGGGAGGGTGAGGACCCTTGAAGCAGTGGCTCGGACCAGGGCGAGGGCGCTGGCATAGGGAGGTGGAGGGGCTCTGGTGGGGTCCCACGTGTGGCCCCAGCGCGCTGGGCAGGAGCGTGCAGGGCCATGATTCAATCGCTGGGGGAGCCCCTCATGGGCGCTTGTGCATTTTTGCTCCTGCCGAGCGCAGGCTCCCTGCCACTGGGCTCTCAGGTCCCCTAAATGAAGGGGGAGCCACCTAGAGCCAAGGAGCTGTGAGCAGGTTTTCTTTCTCTCCCTGGAGCTGGGAAGAGGGCCAGCCCCGCGCCCTGCATGCCTGGCTCTGCTGAGCAGCTTCTGGTGAGCGAGAGCCGGTCGAGCAGTCGTGGTGCACAGTGGGGGCCCTGTCACCATTTCGTGGCTTGCTGACCTGCCCCAGAGCTGGGGGGGGGGGACTGTGGCAGCACCATCCCCTGTCCCAAAGCAAGTCCCGCCACTCCCCAGGGGGAAGTTCACCACGGGAGGTCATGTCTACAAAGTTCTTGGTTGTTGGGCATCTTTTGAGGAGGGGGAGAAGCGGTCCGGCTGGCTGGCCGGGTGGGAAGAGAAGTTCTCCCAGTGCAGGGTGCAGCCCAGCTCTGCAGCCCCTCCGTGTCTTTTGCGGGGTGGCCAGGATGGAGCAGGAAGCTTTACACTGGACGGGGGAGCCCGGGGTCCTCACTGACCCGTCCTCGCTAGGCGCTGCCTCATTTACCCTCGACCCTGGGGAGGACAGCAACAAGTCCTGCCCGAGGTATTTCATCACCCTGCCAGCACGTGCGGATTGCGGGAGCACCGATCCCCGCGCGGACCTCGCCCGGCCTCACGGTCTCCTTTGCGTGTCCCGCGCCACCTCGAGAGTTTGCACGGCCCTACCTGGGTGCCCAGTTTGAGCGAAGTGCCTAGGGAGCCCTGCGTGGGTGCCCGGTGTTGTCTCTCAGCAGCTCCCCGCCACGGGGGCGCACGAGCTTACCTGTGTTCTGCAGGGACAGACGGCCTTTCTGCTGGGGGGGGATCCTGTCTTGGGGACCCTCCGGCGGGTTGGTGGCGTCAGTCCCCCGCGCTGGGTCGAAGGTGGCCAACACCAAAGCCAGGGTCATGAACTGGCCCAGCCGCTCGGCACACATGGTTCTTGGTGTGAACCTCCTGCCGGGAGACCTGGAATCTTTGTGCTCCCCTCCCCCTCTTCCTCCCCCTTCGCTGCTTCCCCTCCTCCTCCCACCCTTCCTCCTTGCTCGCCTTCTCCCTCCTCCTCGCGGCCGCGGCTGGATAGAGGTTACCCAGCGCCCTCCCGTAGCTCTCCGGAGAGCATGTGACCAGGCTGTTAGCAGCACCGCGAGTGCCCGGTAGTGGCGGTGATGGTGCCTCAAATATCCCTGGAAGCTCTGGTGTCACTTGAATGAAGGAGTCGAGCAGGTGTTGTCCCGGTGGCTGGACCAATCGGAGACCCCGGCCCGTTTGACAACACGGCCAGGGGCGGGGCCTACGCCTAACTACTACGCTAGGAAGCGGGGCTCCGCTGGGAGCGCCCCACGAAGTTGCTGACCTGGCGGCCGCCGCCGGTGTGCGTGCGTGTGTGAGTGTGTGAGCGCGGCCAGAGGTGCGTGCGTGTGCGTGTGCGGGGGCTCCGGGTCAATGGCCGAACCGGTTTAAAACAAAAGCGAGTTGCCGCTCCGGGTGCAGCTAAAGAAAGGGGAGAGGGGAAGGTCTGCGCCAGGACTGCTTCCCCAGGTCCCCGGCTCACATCACACCCGCATCGGACCCGGGAAGTTTCCTCTTCCCACCGTTCGGAGCTCAGTGAGAGTCACACTCCGAGTCCGTGACAGATTGAAGGAGTTTCGTGGACACAGGGATGCTGAGGGCGAACTGAGCACACGTGGGCATCCCTAGCGTTGCGAGGCTTTGCGTTAAAGAAACCCTCAAACTATTTAAGAGCAGAAGCACTGGATATAGGACTTGGCCCGAGCAGCTGCCCCACCATCGTCAGCGCTTTCTTTTCGCTCCGCTGGAGTTGGTCGGGACACAGCTAGGGTGCCGGTTTCTCCCCCTCCCCCACCCAGACCGATGTCGGCCCGGCTGCACGGGTCCAGGCGACAGACTGGACTTGCATCATTTCCAGGCGGGTGGCAGGGAGGCCCAGGCAGCCCTGAGTCAGCCGCCACGGAGCATCGCTTGCCCACGAGGCCGGAGCTTGAAAGGCAACTTCACGCGTCTCTAAACACTTCCATTTTCCCTAAGCGCTTCTTCCCCGTCCCACTCCGGGTTCCCTTTACCCTCCAGTCGTCTGATGGAAATGGTTAACGTCCCCCCTCCCCCCGCAAAAAAAAAAACACAACCGAGGAAATTCACCCCATCTCTCCTCTCTTCTTGTTGGAGCTCCCTCTCCAAGCCTGCCCGGGGCGGGATGCCTCCCCCCTCCCCCGCGCCCTGCCTTCTCCACCAGCGCGCAGAAGCTGGGAGAAAGTTGGGCGCCGCTCAGAGCCGCTCTTCCCCCCGCTGTGTGTGTACGTGTGCACGCTCACGTCTCCCCGGCGCCCGGCGGGGGACGGGAACTGCTCCGCGCTCTGTCAGTCCGCTGGCACAGCTCTGGGGACTCACGGGGCTGGGGGAGGGCACTGTCTCCACCCTCCAGTACTGGAACAGGTGATCCGAGTACTCGCTCCCACTCACTACCCTGCCCAGCTCCCAGCCGTGGCCTCTGCGGTAATGCACCGGGGAGGTTTCATCGCCCGCCGCCTGTGGCCCCTGGGCCTGGGTCTCAGTTGGAGACACCCTGGGGGCCTTATAGGGGTCGCCATGTGACAAGGTTGGGGGAAGGGGCGCAGAGCTGCTTGGGCCAGGTCATCCTCTGGCTGCCTTTGGGCTTCCAGGAGAGCTTCCCTGCCGGGGTCCCGCTGTACTCAGGTGGGGGGCCGGGGGGGGGGGGATGCAGACCACGGCTGACCCGCGTATCCATCGGCCCTGAATTGGGAGGAAAAGAGGAGGGGGTGGGGAGGGCGCCTCCCGAGTAGGCTATCCCCTGGGTTGCGGCACCAGGAGCCGCTGTCTACCATCCCTACCCAACTTTCAGGGCCCCAATAAGTGGCCACTTTGAAGGTCTGAGTCTCCAGTGGTGGCAAGAAATGACCACTCATGCCCACGATACCAACAGCAATGACTTCATGCAGCCTCAGGTCTTTTGTGGAAGCAGGTGGGGTCCAAACGCATGAAAACAGGTGGCTCGCATTTCCCAGCCTGCCTTTGTTTGCAGAGTGCACTGGGCTTCCTTTACCCGTTCATGAAAACCCAAGTTCAGTAAATCCTTAGAAGACAAAACCTAACAAACAAACAGCAGTGTTCTGGCCTCACACCAGCCCCACGAGCCCCAGACTGGCTGGGGTAGGCTTTCTTGCTGAGGAGCCTGTTTCGTGGGTGAGAACATGAACAATGTTGGCATTAAAAACAGTGACAGGCCACCTGGTTCTTTGAGCAGCAGAGATAGGAGAGATCCAGCCTGAGCGAGCCAGGCCACCTTTCCTGTAGGTGGACACTTGGGTCTACTTAAAGGAAGGGGCCTAGGGCACCTGGGGAAGAGGCCAAGCAGAAGGAGGTCTCTGGGCTCCTGCTTCCTCATCGCCTTGGGCTCTGTACTGCCTTTGGCCACCCTGAGGCCCGGGGGAAGCCCTCAGTGGACATGCACAATTTAAATATTCATCTTGAGGCAATTTGCTTCAGCCTCCCAGGGGGATTTGTCTCTGTCACCTGAGCCAACTGTCCCTTTAGAAGGAAAAGACAAAAGGTAGCTAGGTTTTGAGGTGTTGCGTGTTGCAAGTGTAGCCACTAGTTCTTAAAGGCTTTGTCTCCAAGCTTCTTAGCCAGGGCCTGACATCCACAGGAGGATACCCATGCCAGTCAGTCCATCAGGGCAGAGCAAATTATTCTGCAGAATCGGTAGGCAGTTTGCTGGGCTCACCAGTCTAGGCCACAGGCCTGGCGGGGAGGGGATGGGGGATGGGGGAGCTCAGCCCCATGACTTGGTTGTGGTCCCCCCTCCCCTCATTCTTTTAGTTCTGTAACTCACGCCTGGCTTGGCCCACTGTGGCGGATGAGAGTGGGGTGGAGAGGGGGCAGCAATAATAGTAACATTGTTACAGTTCTATAGCTAACGTGAATCGAGAGCAGACACTGTGCCACATACTGAGCTCGCAGCTTTGGTGTCCCCCCCCCAGATGGGAATTGAGACTTGGGAGGAGCGAGGCCAGGCCAGCTGGTGGTGGCTGCCCCAAGGGTTCAGCAGGGAGCCTGCCCGATGGATCAGATGGTGGATCAGATGGATCAGCCCTTCTTCGCAGTTTAAGACCAGGACCAGCCTTAGGAAAGATGAGGCAGGCTTGCCTCTTGACAGCTCAGGGCTCCTGTGGTTGACACAAGGAACCCACGTTTTACTCTCTAACTTCGATTCACCCCTTCATTTCAGTTAAACACTCCGGGAGTAGCTCTTTGGGGAAGAGGGAATCTGGGCTGGATTTTGAAAAGTGAGGAGATACTGAGAAGAGTGGGGGAGGAAAAGAGAGAGGGCCTCCCGGGAGGGAGGACCCGCAGGGAGACGTGCAGGGAGGGGCCCTGGGGAGACTTGGGTCTGGAGTTGGGCGGCTCAGTTTGGTCTTAAACTGGAAGGTGACACTGGCGAGGGCAGCCAGGGCCCTGTCATCAAGGTCCTTGTCTCTCACCGTGAGGCCATGTAAGAGTGAGACTCCAGGGTGTTCCTAGACTGGTTCCTTTTGGAATCAGGACATGTGTGGAGCCCAGGGCTGACCTTGGGAAGAATACCCATGGGAGGAATAGAAGTCATTAGTTGGACTCCGGAGGTGGGTGGTGATGCCCAGCGCCCAGACAGTGTTCTTGCTCAGGTGTGAGCAGGCAGGTTCTTGGAAGGTGGGAGCAGTTGCTGGGTGATGAGGCAGTCATGGGGAGGTTGATACCTGCTGTTTAGTCCAGGCTTCCTGTGAGTTCTAGAGCCTGGGTGGAAAACGTGGCTTCCACGTGGAGAGCTCCTCCAGCTCTAGGCCCCGCCCCCTTGGGAATGACTGTCTGGGCCGATGGCACCACCTTATGGTCAGAGAGGGAACTGTCTGACCAAACAGCGGACTCTTCCCTGATGCCAGGGCCTGGGGCACCAACGTGGGGTCTCCTGCCTTTTCTTCAATTTCCTTAGCAAATCAGTTAATGCTCACCTGGGCAGACCACCTAAAACGACGGGATTTAGTCACCCATCAGGGAAATCCCTCTCCAATTTTCTGCTTTTCCTCCCCCTTCTTTTCTACCCCCCTGCCATGAGCCTGAAATCTACCCTAATCATGGCTTCTTTGCATCCCGCCTGAAGGGAGGGAATGAAAAAAGGCATCGAAGTAAAACTGGAAGAGATAAGACAACACACTGCAGCTAGAGGCCCCCCCCCCGATTCTGGAAGGCGGAAGTCTCCCCCTAAAACGTCCCCATCTTTTCCCTGAATCTCCTTTCTTTGAACTGGGGGCTCCATTAAATAGAGTTCAGGACGAAGGAGAGTCTGTCGTCAGCATTTGAGCTGGTCTCTTAGCGCTGCAACAAAATTGCTTTCCACTGATTTTTGCTCGGAAAGTGCAGGGCTTCAATGGCATTATGGGTTCAGAAGGCTTCTGTTGGGCGGGTCTGGAAAACCCTCCCTTCCATCAGTTATAATACTGCCTATCGGAGGAAAATACAGGGCCTGGCACAAATAACGCCCCTTTTTAAAGTACAAAGTCTTTTATTAAAAAGTCATAAACATGTCATTCTGTAACATAACAATATCACACTCAAGCGTACCACATGAAATTTTAGGTGAAATGTTTTAGAAATTAAAAGTATAAGTTATTACACCCATATTATTACCCTACCAATGGAACTGAAATAGGCGCTACTTCCGCTGGACCCTGTACATTCTGAGTTTCCCCAAACAACCAATTCCCAGGGTTTGGGAACACGCCACATTTGCAAATTGGACCTTTCCTCAGTGTCCTAAATGAATAGTCAAACCGTATCCTTGGATTGACGGAAAACACAAAAAGGAAAAAGAATTACCGCCCCCCCCCAATGTCCCCCTCACAAGAAATCCGTTTCCTGGAAAGAATGTAGCAGCTGTAGAGATTACGTGTCTGATTGTGCTCTGAATTTTGTCTCAGTTCCGCGCTCTGAAGGTTGAGCAGTATTCCAGAAGGCCTCCCTGTTTTCCTTGGGTCCCAGGTCTCACTTCCTCTCTGTGTGGTGGGGCGGGACTCCGGGAGGGAAATGCCCCAGGGTGGGGGGGCTGCCTGGTCCCCCTGGAGGCTGCTGGGGGAGCTCAGGGCTGCACAGCTCTCTGGGACTGCGTTTCAAATGTGGTCTGAGAACACATGGATTTCAAGTGGGTGAAGGAAAAATCTTTTGTGGGGCAGTTTTCCAGGAAGCCAGCTTTTGAAAATCTCCATGAAACGGCCAAATGTATTAATGTGATTTAACCGTTCAGGTCCAATCAGGGACCCTTGAACCCAATCTTAGTTTTCTGTTTTTTTTTTTTTTCTCTGAGAAGTTCTAACTATTTGTAAAGGTTTCAATTTCGTAACTTCTGTTCTTTTTTTTTAAAAAGAAATCTTCCAAAGATCAAAGAGAACATTGAATTTTTAACAAAAACAGAATAAAACTCATTTTATCTTGAGTTTGCCACATGGGACCATTGGAACCATTTATAAATCTAAGATAGTTCATGGGATTTCAGTGACCTTCTTTTTATTTTTTAAAAAATGATCTTTTTTTTAAAACAAGATTTTATTTATTTATTTTTAGAGAGAGGGAAAGGGAGGGAGAAAGAGAGGGAGAGAAACATTAATGTGTGTTCGCCGGTCATGCACCCTTTACTGGAAACCTGGTCTGCAACCCAGGCATGTGCCCTGACTGGGAATCGAACCGGTGACCCTTTGGGTCACAGGCTGACACTCAATCCACTGAGCCACACCAGCCAGGGCTGACCTCATTTTTCTTACATCTTGAACACAGCTTCCACTTTGTCATCCTAGGGATGATTTCATTACTCATCAATTATTGCCAATGATGCTACAGAACGTGAAAATAATGGAAAACGGAGGCATGATGGAGTCGGCACCTAGAAGGATGAGGGGACAGGCAGTGACTGTCAGGACCGTGTCCCCCTTCAGGGTTGCTCTTCTGTTGCTGAGGGGCTCAAACCATCTTCAGAGAAGCTGTGAAGGAAGATACCATCTTAGTAG